CCCGTTCATTCCCCCCTCCCCCCAATCCGGGCCGCACCGAGCCACCATCCTGCTCCCTCCGATTCCCCTCGCAACCCCCGCTGGCTGGCTGGCCGCCGTTTCCCTTTTGCCTCCGTCCCTCCCCCCCCTTGCCGCGCCCCGCCGCTCACTCGCCGTTCACCCGACCCTCTCTGCCGCCTCTTAAAAACGAGACTTGCCGCCGACTTTCCGACAAAGGAATAAAGAAAAGAAACAACTAGCCACGCTACTCGGGCTGAGGATGGCACGGCAAACCGTACCGCAACGCGGCGCGGCGCAGCACGGCGCGGCACGGCACGGCACGGCACGGCGCGGCGCGGCGCAGCACGCCGTAACGTGGCATGGCGAGTAGAGAGCCTTTCTGTATAGGGAGTGTGAGGGGGATGCTTCGGGCCGACCGACCGACCGACCGACCGGCCGATCGTTCAGTAGCGTGGCCATCCGGGGGCTCGGCACTAGGAAATAGAGAATACCGAACGACAGCAGAACTGCGCCGCATTTACTCGGCTCTCTCTCTCTCTCTCTCTCTCTCTCTCTCTCTCTCTCTCGAAGAATCCGTGCTGCATCCGCAACGAGAATTCCGCCGTTACGATCCGGTCTGTATGACCCGTTTTGAGATAAGACAACTCCACGGGTATTTCTCGCGGTACGCCGTAAATTTCACGGTTTTTTACTGTACATATAAAAGGAGAAGAAAAAAAATTACATTTGATCGAAATACCTCCGAAGCAAGATTAAATTGTGTTTCACGCAGAATGAATAATTATAAAGATTGAATTTTGAAGAAATTAAGTAGCGTCTGATCAATATATAAGTTGAAAAAGTAAGAAAACAAAAGTGTATATTAATGATCCCGCGTGTTTTCATTTGGTAAATTATTGAAATAGAAAAATCTTCAAATTGTACTTAATATCGCAATATTTTAATATTTTCTTCTGTGCAATATGCGTACTGATCGAAAAAATTTGCCTTGCTCGTCAACGAATAAATTAACTTTTTTCACAAAAATGTACATAATTCGTACTTTCGAAGAGAAAAGAATGATTTGATGAAACTAAATAAGTACAATTTGATTTTCTTAATCTTTATTCTTCCGTTTTGAATGTTTGACATGCGAGAATTCAATCGCCGACAGATTGATAAAAGCTAACAACGTTGCAAGGCTAAAGATTTCTCACTTGATATTTCATTTTTCGAAATCACATTGCAGGCCACATAGAACGTGAGAAGGGACTGACGAGGGGCTATGTAAAAGCGCAGAGGTGTCAGTATATACATATATGTATATCTCGCGACGTATAATATTTAATTTCGCGTTTACGCGCGGTCAGCGCGGGACGCGGGCGCACAAAAGGAGGCCTGTCGTGTTTTTGTTCAAGTTAATTGTTTCTCTTCTCTTTTTATTTCGATCGTGTGTGCGTGCCGCTAACAGTAGCGCACGGCACATTAGTAGAACGTCCTGCAGGGGGAGAGAAGGAGGGGTGGAGGCGGATGTGGACGAGGGGGATGGTATGGCCGAACTGTACGTAGGTGGAAGGTATATCCCGAGAGAGACAAGCTGCCGAGACCTCCATCGCGCCGCGGCGGCGACGCCTATGTTTCTTCTGAAACACCGCTAGGAGATAATAGCGTGCGGGTACAGTCTCCAAAAAGAGTATCTCCGATTTGACACAGACGGACTTTCCGAGTAGTATTGCGCAGCGCACTCGGGGCGAGCGAGGCAGCAGCCTCTCGGTAAAGCAATGTAAATAAAGAATGTGTCATACGACACACGCACGAAAAGAAGAATGCGAAATCGGAGCGCATTTCTCTAATTTGCCTGTCACCCTCCACCCCCTCCCCCCTCCTTCTCTCTTTTCTCTCTTCTCTCTCTCTCTCCCCCTTTTTCTGCTCTACCCTTCCGTCGTTGTCTTTCATCTCCCCCGTCTGACTCGTGATTCATTGAAGCGTCGAAACAACACAACCGCGCGTTTGTGAACGATGACGTGCGTGTCGTCGACGTAAACACCGAAGTGATCTCAATGACGAGCGTATCGATTCTCACAACGGAAATAGGCCGGAAGTTTAAGGTTTCCTTTCTTTTATTTTTTTTTGTTTTGTTTAATAACAATCGCGCGATTAAGTTTCTCTACGCGTAATTTTACACACGCGGGAAGGGGATCGCAGGATGCTTATTTACCGCGCGCGCGAATATTCGCGCCGGGACGTGGGGCAAAATAACGAATTCGATCTTTCGGTTATCGATCCTCGAGTACACTGTCGTTAAATTCGGGCGATTACTATAACGCGTGATTACTATAATTCAGGTCAATTTTTCGATCACGAGATAAGTAGTGTCATATTTTATGTCAGTGCGCGCGCTACGTCGAGAGAAGTGTATATATCTTTTTTTTTTAATCGTGGTTGGTATAAAAGTTAAGCGCCAGATTGTGAATTAATTATTAAAACAATAACTTGAACAGAATATCTATTAAGCCTATCAAATTATGCATTGGAGATTGAAAATTGCGAATTAAAAATTAGATTTTAACCCATCAGAACAAAACGGATTAAAATTAAACTTAATTAATCTAGTAAAATTAATTTAATTGATCGAATTTTAATCTTCAGTTTTCAATGCCTCAATTTCTAATGCGTAGTTTAATATGGACTTTAGTATTTTACAAAATATATTTATATAAAGATCCATATCTAATGCATCGAGATTTAATTGGAGAGGAGAAACTTTGTTTCTCGTAACGTGATATTTATTGTCACGATTGATGTCGCGAAATGTCAATACAATAATATTGACCAATAATTCTTACACTGTCGGTGATAAATAATTATGATGTAATTAATACATGAAATTTTGTTTAAGAAAATAAAGATTACGAACAGATATCTATGCTGTATAATCCCTCGACTAGCAATTAGATCTGATCGTCACATTTTATTCAATTAAAAAAAAATTTAGTATACTGCGCCACACAAAGACTCTTTGTCTCTCACGATTTGCGAAGATGAGGTAGGGTGTAGCTTTGGAAAATCGTCATCAATTCGGCACGCAGAGGAAACGCAACGCGTACAATTTCGCGTCCGAATCAAAACACAGCAAAATCGCTCGCGGTTTTCCGTTCCCCGATCCGTACCTCTCGATGCTTTTCGGCGCAAAGCCAAGTGACAGATCGATTTGTCTTGGCGACGTCTTTCGACGGAAGTGCGACGGCATCGAGCCTGCGATAAATCGACGAGTTCAACGAACGTAACGAGCTCGAGGTTTTTGGAAGACTAGAGTCTGATTCTCGATGTACCGGAAGATAACGGAAGTCGATTGTCGCTCGGCGATCGTGACGATCGGCAGCGGAGTATTCGCGTTAGCCTCCGAGACTGACGGCAAGCCGAGCGTCGGCGTCGGTCTCTTCTTCGCATCGAAACTCGGAGTTAACAGCAACATCAAAGTCAGTCCTTCCTCGTCGTTAAGCCCGTCTCACGCTATTTATAATTATAGTCACTGAGTCGAACTAATTGAATTACTCTCGAGGGAATATCACGGCCCTTTAAAGAGGGATCCCTTTACAATTTGCAAATTAAAGCTGGATATTACGATTGAAATTGAAATTCTAATTTATTGGCTCGCAATGTATTTGCTTTCCAGGGAAGTTTTCGTAGAAATATGGAAAGAAGAATATTTTATATACACGAGGCATATGAATTAAAAAAAAAAAAGAAACATTGCTTATGCAGTGTGCGTCTGTAGACGGGTAAGACGGGAGTACTGTTACAGTTCTGGGTCGTGTAAACGGGGCTTGATGCCGCGAGATTCTTGTAGGAAGACAGCGGCGCTGGCTCTCTGGCGAACGGGTATGCAAAGGAGAAAGAAGCAAAATAAGAGAAGAAGAGGAGAGTAGGTAGGTAGAGGTTGAAGAGCCGCCGCGCCGCGCCTCCTACCTTCGGGGTCCGTGTATCCTCGGCTCGGCACTGGGCGACGACGAGCCGCGAGGAATACGGGCTGCCAAGCCAAAGCCGCCTTGGCCTGGCCTGCCCGCCTGGCTGACTGGATGGTATGATGGTGGGCTGCTGGCTGCGACGATGCGGTGCGGTGCCGTGCCGACAGTGACGGTGGTGGAGAGTGGTGGTATGGCGCGCGGGTAGGTAGGGGAATTACGGGGAACGTGCTTTTAGGCGAGGAGGACGAGCGCCCGTAGTCGTGTCCGAGCCGCGAAACGGGCGGGTTTGTACCTGGCGCGGAGTACGAGGCGGTGGTGGCGGTGGTGGTGGTGGAGAGGAGAGGAGAGGTTTTTTTCCGTGTAACCGCTCCGCTCGTGTCGTCCGAAGCTTCGCTTCGCCTCGATGCGCGAGCGGCAAAAACGCACGGTCCTTCTTCCGGCAGCAGTGCCGCGCGACGTTTCCGAACGAGCGAGGCCTTCGTGAAGGCGCTCCTTGTTGTCGCGCGTTGTGCTGCTGTGTTCTCGCACGCGGCGTATCCGCGTCAAATCCGTCGGACTCGCTCGGCACGCTCCGCGAGCACAAGAGAGCACGTGCGTACAGTGTGCGTCGGCGTCGGCGACGGCGACGGCGGCGACGGGAGGGGACGGTCGCGTCGACCCTGTATACTCGCTCGGAATGTTGATGATCCGCGCGTAAGGGCGACCCGAGTGCGCGTTTGTGTGGTTTTGCCCTCGTATATGGTTTACGGAATCGGGCTCTGCCGGATGATCGAAATCGAGCGCGGGGCGGTGCGGAGAGGATCGTCGTACCCGCGCGGGGAGCTGCGCCTAACCGGAAGTAACCGAGGGAGAGACCGCACGGATACTATTACCTCGTATATGCATCCAGGGCGGCGTGTCGGTAGTCCTCCGCGGCACGGAGGAGTTGGAACACAAAGTGTGCCGCCGATCCGAGAGCGGGGAGTTAAAGTGTAGAGGGATCGCGCGCGGCGATCACGGCCCCGCGCACTCGCACGCACGCACCACGCACGCAAGCACCAACGTACGCACGCACGCATGAAGGTCCCATGGCTACCGGATTGGTAAAGTGGTGGCGGGCAAGGTTCCTCGCTGGCTACAGACCCTTTTCTGGTAATGATCGCTCCTTCTTTTCGGGACGCACGCTGCGAAATATCGAGACTCTCGGGCCGTCGTACATTCGAATCCCGCCGTCGAAAAAAAAAAGAGAAAAGATGCACAACGTTAATTTAATGTTCCTGTTTAGTATCCGCCGGGAACAGTTCTACGAACGAAGCTTTGATTTTAACGAGCTGATTAATATAAATATAAACAATATGAGAGAAAGAGAGATATATATCTTGTTTTCGCGTATACACAATCTTGTTTTATTTTAGATATCAAAGAACTAGTCACATGTTTCTCTCATGTTTTTTCTCACTGTGTGTGTGAGGATAAAATAATGAATTAAATATTTCTTTGTTATTTAACTGGAGTAAATTCTTTCCTCATGGTGACACAAACAACACAGTTTATTATCCGTTCGTAAACTTCTTTCGTGCTGTATTTTTGTCAATATTTTTCATTTGTACATTTGTATCTGTTGGGTGTAACTATACATACACGTTACATACGTATATCGCGTTTACGAAACATTTCCTAAATGCATTGATACGCGATTTAACGAAAAACAAGAATGATTATAGATAAGAGCCATACAGACGTTTCGCAAAACACGATAAATCCGTCTTAAAGAATTCTATACCTAACGGATTTGTAAAAAATGTAGTTCCGTGAATTAACTTGTGTTATATTAATTCTTACATATCTCTGAGACGCCAATAAAATTTCAAAATTTCGAAACTATTATTGATAGAATTAGTAAATAGTGTTTTTCGGTATTTTTATGATTTTAGACTTCCACATGAATGGGACGTATTTCTGAACAATAGTTCATTTACGATCGTTAAGAAAATTATTTATAATTTGGTAATTTTCTCGATAACTATATGGTAATCACGTATGAAAAATAAATGTGTGTATACCTAAAGTTCCCGATTATTTCATTTGTTTTGCCTCTCGACATAATAAAATTTTTACAAGTTTCGTTTTAAGATTAAGTTTCGTCCGAGATTAAAATAGGTACGTCCTGTCGAGATAATCCAAAGAAAACTGTCATTTATCAGTTGACCGCTCTTCGACCATTTTCTTATCAGGTATACGTATTCCTAGAAAGCTGGTCTTCGAAACCTTTTTAGAAACACAAAAAGGAAAAGCGTAGATGTATTTAATTGGTTTTTGATCTTTTAAACTAGATTTGCTTTTTAGTAACAAGTAAAATATATAGTACTATTGATGAAAATATCCACGTTTCCGTCTCATTGTATTTTTTCCATGTTAAAGTTTTAAGCAAATTTCACCCAGACGAGAGGCGCCTCGGGTGTATACCTGAGGAAAATCAGGGAAGTGGTTAAATAGCGGCACGGCTTAAAGGCGGGGGAGAGAGGGAGGGGCAGAGGGGGAAGGGGAAAAGGTTCGACGGAAAAAACAATGTGGAAAAAAAAAGAATGTGATGAGCGCAGCGGTGGCGTCTGCACGATCAATCGTGCCGCCGTCGCCGTCGCCGCCAAAGAATGACCGTCGTCAGCGGTGGATAATGCCGAGATGTTATCGAGACGGATACCACGTGGTCTTACGTCATACTTACACTTTTCTTAGGCTTTCGGCCTGTGCGCCTATACAGTCAATATGTACGCGCGGCTCGTCTCGTAACGCGTCGTTGAGAAATTATACTCTTACGCGGCGCGGAAATTACGGTGCGTGCGTTTAGTGACAACAAAAATTACACAAAGCCCCTTCTCACCCACGGCTCTCCGATTTCCCCCGGCGCGAATCCGACGAATCTCAAGCTCCAGATAACAAAATTGTTTGTGTCACACATATAGGGCGATTGACGGATTCGTCTTTCTTAAATGATTGTATATAAAAATATGAAGATAGATGTCTTTTACAAACTTTATCCAATAATTTGTATATATTTTTTAACATATATTAATAATATTATTTTTCTGTTTGACTTCACGAAATGTTTACAATATACATAACGATACTTAAAACGATAACACAATATCAGTCTTCGAAGATGCGGAACGGCCCACGAGTCTCGATATCGTTTATCCTTGAATAAATACAGCGCAACTGCGTTCCGAGATAATTAAAAATTATTTACTTAATGTGAATTTTTTTAGAATAAGTATATTGTTCTGAAGTTAACTTCAGACTTTTGTACAAATACAGCGCAACTGCGTTTCGGGGTAATTAAAATTTTTTTTTAGAATAAGTATATTATTCTGAAGTTAACTTCACAACCGATGCGCGTGTAAATTTAATCGGTAGTAATAAGTTTGAAAAAAAAAATCTTATAAATAACGGGAAACGCTAAATCGATAGCAAATTAATATTAATTGTGGCGCGTCTCCTCGTCCGCATTTGTACGTACACACGGCGTCAGAACTATGCCTAGCCCATCTGCAGGGGCACATATTACATATATTTTGAATATACATATATATATGTATACATATTATATGAGCCAGTATTCCTGCAAGTTCAGATGGCTAGGCATTTCTGACGCCGTGTGTACACGCACAATTTGAATAGAGAGACAGATTAACGATTGCTCGTAATGTATCCCGTCAAGTTGCAACCTTCACGAATATTCGTTAGTTCTCCTCGCGCGTGGTGGGGTAGTCGGGTATCGAATGTCGGTGGATTTGCGCACCTCTCACGCACAAGTGTGCGTACATACGTAACGCCACGAAATCGCATACGCGATTTCGTCTCCATCGCGAGTCGCGAGTTTAACAGCCAACGTCTATTGTATACATATACGATACATCCGCGCGCTTTCTGCCCGTTATACGTGGGACGAGTTTACTGCCCATTACACAATGGTTGACGATAAAACGTACTCGAAGCTCGCGATTTCCAGGACGTAAAAGCCGAAATGCCATCCCGAGGCGAGAATCGTCGAGCGCACGAATCGGAAAAACCGAAATCCAGTTTGATAATAGACTTTTCCCCTCTTTAAGCCCTGACGTTGCTAGCCTTTGTGATACATTCCGCGACTCGAAATCTGCTTAGAATCGCTCGTAATGTCCCCGTATCGGACTGAAGATTAAGATTGAGATTGCGTTGGAATTTGGACCAATTAAAGCAAAGTTCATTAAACTTGAAGTTTTCTTTCTTTTGATTGGTTAAAAATTCCAATCTCAATCTCTTTAAGTTTGGGCATAACGCGTCAAAAATGAAAAAAAAAAAATGAAGAAAAAAACGTGAATTTTACTTCTGCAATCCCTCGTGCGATCCGCGTTTAGATTTTCAATTTTGGAACCGTGAATTTTACAAATTCGCGTCATACAACTGCTCACGGAGAAGCATGAAATATTGATCAAAATTTATTATGCAGAGCTCCGTTTTTGAGGAGAGAAAAAACCGATCAGCTCCATTCTTCGAAACTTACTACAGCATTTAAAAAACTTGTTTTGCCAAGTATACTATGCGAAATATTTTATGAAAATCATTGAAATATGTAAAGATCATTTTATTCGGAGCAGTCGGAGCCGTCCGTTTCTTGTGTACAGAGTTGGCCAAAGAAAATTGAATGAGAAAATTTAAAAGAATATAAAATAAAAACTTAGAAAATTTATTCCATTAGTTTTAATTACATACAGAGGAAATTTCCCGTTTCTTTGGCTCACCCTGTACCGCAGAAAATGCGGAATGTTCGATACGTTAAAAATCCACCGGAGGAGTCATTTTCACGGAAAAAGAAAATGGAACTGACCGGTTTTTCCATCGAGCTCTTCTTTTATTGTTGCACCACCAGGGGACAGAGCCTGGGTAGGTACAGGAAAAGATCTTTAAGGGCGATCGTTATGAAAGCAAACGGTGATTTTTTTTTTCGCTTTTTGACGAGCGTGTCTCGAGACGTGTCCGTTCTTGGAAATTATGAAAGTCAAGATTTCGCCGCCTGCGCCGCGCCGCGCCGTTGCCGGTCGTAAGGTGCGTAAACTCAGCGGCATCGAGATCCGATGGTTCTGGTTAGAATTCCAGCTGCTTCCCCCCTCCCCCTCCCTCTCCCCTGGTTATACCAGTCGCCGCCGAAAGGCTTCCTCCCCGCGTGTGGAACGGCCGCGCGACTGTCGGCGCGGGGAAGCGTAAAAATACCGCCTGTGCGCCAAACACACGCCACCGGTCGCGGATGCCGCGCGGCGCGCGTGTTAAATGCCGCCTTTTATTCGCTCCTCTGCCTCTCTCGCCCGGGGGCAGAAATCGCGATCGTGCGCGACGGGAAAGCGAGCGGATCGGAGAACGGCTTCCCGATCGCGGCAGCGGCCGGCGCGGCGCGGCGTTCCCGTCGCGCGCCGCGCCCTAATCGCGCGCGCGTTTGCACGTCGATAAATATAATAAAACGATCCCGAGAAATATACTTGTCGTGTATTAAAAGACAGGAAAGGAAAGCATGACGGAATCCTATTTTTTTTTACACTGACCTGCGAAGGAGAAAGAGACAACACGCCGTCGCGTAGGTCGAATGAAGCCTCTTAGCATCAGCCTCTGCGTTCCCTCTCGCATAATGAATTTTTTCTTACTTATATCTGTTCAGTCGTGGGGACCAATACGGAAGGTAGCGATTCCGAGGAGTTGCTTACGGGCGTCCCGACGATCTGCAACGTTTCGTCACCGCCAACGACGACGACGACGACGACGGCGACGACGTCGACGACGACGACGGCGACGACAACGACGGAGCCGCAACCGATTTTAATCTCACCCGCGGAGACGCCGCAGGTCGCGGCTGATAGTTCGGGCGTACCTGCTGGACCTACCGGTAATGATGAACAGCCTACGTGCGGTACAACGAAACAGCTTAGTTTCGAGGTGAAATACTTTGTTTTATTTATATATACCTGGGTAGGGAATAAGGGGGAGCAACAACTCGTGGCAAATATTAACGCGTCGCGTATTTTAAGAATTTCAAATTAGTTTTCTCTTAAAATTTGCGACCAGTCTGTACAATACACATCAACAATACAGTAATATATCTTACGGTTATAGATATTGCATTGTTATACTTTTTAATTCGCGCTGTAAATGTAAATTTTATTGTAAGTCTTGATTTGTAAATCTTATACGTATAACAATATTTCTTTTCTTGCATTTTCTTTTTTTACTTTATGCGAATTAATGCCAACTCCTTTTTAATCAAATTAATTTGAATTTAATTTAAGATTTGAAGATGACAAATTTTATTCTAAAATGTGATAAATTCTATCAGTTAGTTCAGAAAGTAAATCAATCAAGATTTTTTTTTCACAACATAATACTTTTAAGATAATCGCGTGGTAAAACGAAGAATTGTCAATAATTGTTTTATTATCAATTAAGTTAATGAGAATTCCCAAGAAAAGCCGGTTTCATTACGTAAACGAAGAAGGGAATGTGTATAATATTCGTATTTGTATTATATTTTTTTTAAACGCACAAATTGCTCGCTTGTTATTACGACTTCTTTCGCCACCAAGCTGCAATTACCGTAATTTATTAGAGTCGTGCACTCGAGGGACTTTTCCTCCAAGACTTTTTTTTAACCCAAGCGATCCCGTTCGCGTTTTGCAGGAATTCGAGTGCGACGTGTCGGTCGCGGATGGCGACAGGAGGCGGCAGGAGTTCTCCTTCACTCTGTACGACTTCGATGGGCACGGGAAGATCACCAAGGACGACATAGCTGGTCTGGTGACCACCATTTACGACACGCTAGGCGCCTCGATACAGGTACCACCGTGCGGTAGCAAGACGATTAAGGTGAAGCTGACGGTGTCGCCGGATCAGCGGGCCAGCAGCAGCAGCAGCCAGGCGCCGCGCAATGCCGCCGCCGCCGCCGCCGCCGCTGCCGCCGCCGGCACCTGCCTAAATGCCACGCAAACGCCGCAGGCCGCGACGTTGTCCTCCGGTCACCAGCACAACCCGTCGTCCTGTTGCCATTTGAAGCACGCCGCTCCGTGCGGCCACGCATCGGCCGCCGCCACCGCTACCGCTCGCCACGGCGCGAGCAGAGTTCCTAGAAGGAGAAGAGCAACGCGCTATCGTTGTCAGGTGAGAGACCTACATTCCTTCGTACGAACCACGTTGCGTATGTATGTATAACATCGGCAACGGCGATCTCGACACCCGAATCATGCGAGCGATACCGCGAGTCGGGATGCCAATCATGCGGCCGCACGAGGAGGTATATAAGAGTGAAGGAGATAAAATGCACCTCTCTCGCGAACATTTATTCTCGTAAGATAGTTCTGATAATGACACATGTAATTGTCAAATTATATTACGAATTACTTTCGTAGCTTCTCATTACTTTTGAGAATTTATAAAGTTTTGTAATTATTCGTTTTGATATACTTCGTCTTTACATATGTATTGAATCAATTAAATATACGAGTGGAAATAGATCACACGCGAACTCGTTAACATTTTTTTTGTACAAATAATAAAATTTTTCTTTTTTAGGTCTTTTCCTTAACATTTTTAACTTATGCGTTTTTGATCAAGCATTAGCTCTTGTTGATTTCGGTATATCATTGCATGCGGTTTTACAATTTGCCATTTCGATTGCTGTTGCAGACTGAACGAAAAGAAGTGGAGACTCATAGCGAGGATGACGATGAGAACGCCAGAACGAATCGAGTGCAGCAGGAGGAGCTACGTAGACGAGTCGGTCCGGTGCCCCATTTACCATCTCCCTATTCAAACAGCTCGGAGGGCGATGTGAGCGATGATAGTGACACTTCCCCCGCGTTCTCGCCATTGACGCCGCTTCTTACGGTGAATCAGAGGAAACGCAGCGGCGCCCTACAAAGACAACAATTACTGGAGATTATTCAGGCCAACATGGAGAAAAATAATCTCAGTTTTCACACATCAAGGTGAATTAATTGCGATCAATTTTGCAAAATTATCATAGCGTATATGAAAAACTAACTCTTTGCCTATACAGTATACATATATAATATATATATATATATATATATATATATATAATTAATTAATGTAATATATAATATATATAATTAAAATTCTTTTTTAAATTAGCAATCTTTTTTCAATATTCTCGAATATTACAATTTAATTAAATTCCCTAATTCAATATGTTTTTTCTTGTTTATCAATATTTATAGGGTTATATAATGTTTAAAATAGATAAAATTCTAAAAGAATGTATCAATATTTATAGGGTTATCTAATGTTTAAAATAGATGGTTTATTAATGTTTATAGAGTTATATAACGTTTAAAATAGATAAAATGCTGAAAGAATGTCTTGGCTATAAATCGAACCTGCTTTTTTGTCCGCAGGAAACGGCATCAAAACGAACAATCGCGCATTTCATCTCATAGCCCCCATCTAGAGACCTCGAATCATAACAATCAGGACTGCCATACGTCTCTGGAGCCTCGTCAAGCGACCACGAACTATCACAAACCAATCCGGGAGAGCACCAATCATCATTCCGCGTCGTTTCCCAAAACGCCGGTGAAATCGCGGTCGGCGAATCTCAGAAAGACGCGGCACGCGACACCGAGGAACAACGCGAATTCACATTCCTCCCCCCAGGCGACCTACGCGACGTATTCGCAAATACTGAATCGCAACGTGCTCGCGCCGACGACGGTCTACAACGACAGCAGTACGCCGCAGCACACCGCCAACAATACCGGCAACGCTCACAACCGCAACATCGTCAACCTCGTGCCCAACAACAACCAGCAAACGGCCAATCATCAGACCGTCACCAACAATCACAACAACCTGCAACGCAACGACGCGCAATTCGTCTACGCGCAGCAGTGCGGCAGGGCGAGCAAGAAGCATCAGCTGAAGCACGCCACGCGGGAGCAGGACCAGGCCCGCGCGATGGCGCAGGTCGTGCGCTGGCTCGAGCGTGAATTCTCGCAGAACGCGGTGGCGGCCACGTCGAGTCGGAGACACGTCCACGAGCACATACACCATCACTATCATCACTATCACGCCGAGGCTCTGGTGTGATCGGCCCCACTCGAATTTCAAGTTCTCTTTGAACTTGGAGGTCGTCACAATAACGATAAAATGAATTAATTTAAAAAGGAATTATCGAGACGTAATTCGTATCTACATTATTGTTATTTAGGAAAAACGGCTTAGCATTTCGTATCACGTTTTTTTTTTTTAAATTGTATCGTATAAGGACTCGATATGACGCGTTTCATTTCCGAGCTCTCGTATATATACGTGTTTTATTGATTATTTTAGGAAATCGTGTGCTATGAATCATTTCATTGAATCTCTCAATTTGTTTTCGTGAACAAGGTCGAACTAATTCGTACATTGTTCGAATATCTTTTAATGCGAATTCAATGATGAGCAATCGTATATTTTTCATATAAGCGACTGAGTTTTTCTTGGGTATCGACGAATGTACGAAATTTGCGGTGCTCGTTGATTTTTTTTTTGATATTTTATAAGCGTCGAAATTAGGCAAAACGAAATTTTTTTACATCGTAAGTGGCATAGAAAATGGTATCGCGATTTGCTTAAAGAAACTTTTGTGGAAGACATGCGTGTTCAGTGTAAATTACATTCGTATTATATGCGCAGATTTTTTTGAGCAAGGAGATAGTTACTATAAATCTCAGGCTTATGATATGTACGTCATATTACAATGACAATGGTCTAGTTTCCACCGAAGCATTAATTCGCACATAATACGGTGTAGAATCAAATTTAAATCGATGGAAATACACTTGACTTTGCTTCCATTTCGATCCACAAGCTTTATCGGAGTGGCAGTGAAACTGATATAAAATTGAATCGGCTATTAAGTTGGTTCTACTGAAATATCAGTTTTCACTTTTACTCTATTTCCAACGGAAACAGCACACTAAATTTTGATCTGCCCCGAAGTGGAACTGAATTAAGAGTTCGATGGAAACTAGTCCAATGACGAAACACCACCCGAGTAGGATCGCAATTTAAATAACAGAATATGTATACTATATTCGATCGTATTTTATACGTACAATATGTACGATCATGTTTTCCGGAATTGAAAAAACAGATTATCACGCGCTATAGAATAAAATTGCACTTTTAATCGAAAGAAAAAAAAAAGAATGCAGTCGCTCTTTCTCAACTCAGGCGCGATAAAAGTACGACGGCTATCCATCGTTGTATATATAGAAAGTATCCCAAAGAGAATATCTTTTCAGTATACAAAAGTTACGATTAAGGCAGACACAATTTATAGAGTCGCAACGAGAGAGCGAAGCGTTCGGAAGCATAAAGACTCCACTACGAATGTTCCTGTATAACCGGAGAGTTATAATTTTCTTTATCGAACGTAGAGTATTTCTAGAAAAAAAAAATCTCGAACGCGATTTTGACGGTGCTAGCATACCCATACAGTCGAGCGAACGCGCACTTTCGATTAAAATAACGCTTGAATCTCATATACAGGGCGTTTCACTTCTATCAGGTCATATTTCAGTAATGGATCTCTCGGCCACTTTCAGGTGAAATTCTCTTCGGTGAAAATATTCTAAGCTATTGATGAGATAAAGAGCGATCTAAAAACAATTCATTTTTACGTTAAGTGTTTTAGGAGAAATTAAGTTAAGCTATTGGGAGAAGAGATGGGTAACGAGATAATATTCTACGGACTAATCTCGCGTACGCGAATATATCTTGATAGAATTTTAACTTGGAGACTTGGTTCGGAAAGATGATATATAAAAAGATAATGTTAAAAAATTGAAAGATTGTACGATTAGGGACGATAGAGGGCAACATTTTTCGCTCCGAAATCTGCCATTTGAAGAACGATGCCTTAGCGGTGGTACATCCTGTATATCTTGCTAGTCTTATATTACGACAAATAAAACTCTTTCATTATCCGCGGAGTACAGTGGATACTCGGAAAGAGAGAGTGACAATTGAGTTCTTATACTAGTGCCTTGTAATCTAGAACTCGTTTCGTACTCGCGAATAATTGGTCCCTGTTTTTCTTTTCTTGCAAAAACCGATCATTTTTCTTTCCATTCGTCGCACGAGCGAAGACTGTCCCGTATCCGGGCAACCTATATTTTTGTGTTGTCAAAACTCGTTTTGTCCCTATTACAATCCGCCGCAAGAATTTTGAAAGATCGTTGAATGGCGTATTATTTATTGCTAACGCGCGAAGGGGTATAAGCGCGCGAACGGAACTATGAAAATCGACAATATTTCTCAATCGGGTGTCACAAGAGTATTACGATTACCTTTAGCTGTAGCGATCAATATTACGATTAAGGCTAAACGTTAAGACTAGATACATTGACAGATGTAAGGGTCCTAGATAATTACGTTGCGGGACATGTAATTTTATATATCGACATTTGTAATCCCTGTAGATATTTTCTGTAACTTTTTTTCTATTGATATTTATTAAAACACGTTTTTATACTATGCCTTTCGTACTTATTTACCGGATACACGCGCGACGTATAGTTTAACGCACGTAATCTGAACAATTTTTGCAATATAATTTTCATATTTTTAATTTTAAAAATAACACTTAGATTTTATAAATTTTCTTCCGAAATTATAAAGCATGATAAATCTTAGAATATATATTTCAGATATAAAGAAAATTCTAGAAAAGAAGTAGACTGTCACAGTACTTCTGAAAAGTATTTCAATTTGAGAAATTTTTTAAAAATTATAAAATTATACAGAAATTTTGCAAAATTTTGAAATTTATATCGAAATTCAGTAAAACTATATAAAGAATTCTAAGAAGAATTTTCAGCGACCTATCTCTTGGAAGACTCAATTAAATTAGGATCAACTAAATAGATTGATAAATTCGTTTTTCCGATCAATGAAAAACTAAACTCAATGAGAAAGTGATCGAAAGAAAATTGACGTTTAAAAGATCCGTGAAAAAAAGGAAACGTGATTTTGTATACAGAAAAATAAATGTCAACTTTATGATTTTTAAATTATAATATTCGTGGTCTTTTTTTACGGAATTGATTCTTCAATCGTGAGGATCGATCAAGGTACGTGCTAGGGATCACCTCGCCGCCGCTTCGAAAGAACGTATCATCCGCGTTATTTCTGGACGTCACTTTATTATACATACATAACCAAAGGATCTTTGTACAAAACACTTTTTGTGTGTCTGCGTTAAATTTTCCGAAACTCGCCATCGAGAGAGCTGCGGTGAACTGCGTGAAGTTAATACAATATACGTATCTCACCCTCTATTCGATCGTAAAATGCTTATCTTACTCTTACGGTTATCTTACGAGACGAAACAACTCTTGTCGAAAAATCAGAGGTGAAGAAACGCCTCCCCGGGGTGGTGGGGGAAGAGGGAGAGAGAAAAAAGGAGGACGTTTCTTTTCTACGGGTATATAAAATTCTCGCTACTTAAGATAGCATGGGGGTGGAGAATGAACGCGCGAATCGCGCCGATTCGGCGAAAACCGTGGATGTACAAGCACAGAAACTTATTCAATTCGCGTTTAAATCGCGGTCATCATATCGTTCCCACATCTTTAACGGTGCTATTATCTCTCTTTCTTTTCAACATATCGGAAGTTATCGTTCAATCCTGCCACGCGTCGTATAACAAACGGCTGCTGCGCGCGTGTGCTATTCATCTTTAAATATTTTTCCTGCCTAATAAAACATCTCTCGTCGTTTCGCGCCTTTCCATCGCAATTACAAGATTTGTACAGTCACGCGCAATTTCGTTGTAATAAAATTTGAAAAGAAAATTCCGAATCGTCTCGGAAAGCGTCGCTTGAGAATAGCCGCAGGACGATTCGCCTTTCGAATTCGAAGCGCGCAATGACGTGAGTCCTTAATACACGCGCAATCCCCGCGCCTTTAACTTTTTCAATCGTGAGACCCGCGCGTACAAAGCTGCAGGCTTCATCGAGGCTGAAATATAAAAAAAAAAAAGATGAAAATTACGCGTGTTCGCTCGTTAAGAATTTTTACTCTACCGAGAGCGGGAAGAAACAAAAGGATCCACATATCCAACGACGAGAAGAGCTGCTCTTCGCGAACGTTCGATCAGGAAATATGTACACGTTGTACTCGAGGAGGGAGCGGAAGGGAGGGAGGATTTACCGCGGCGAGGAAGTACAGAAGTCGAGATGAACGTAAACACAGACGCGCGGTGCGAGAAAGATATGATCACTTAGAGTCCTATACGTATCGCATATACCATGATCGATATATGTCAACGAATATATACATCGTACAGTTAGTTTATTTGATTACTTTTAGCAAACCAGCATCCGAAGCACTTATATATATCTAATAAGAGCTAACGTTAAGACACTTAATCGTTACGCGAGTCGAAAAAAGCGCACCTCCTCCAGCCCCTCTTCATTGCGCGGTGGCGTTTTATAAAAAAACGTGATTCAAACACGGAGGAGCCCCGAACGGAGGCCCTGCATCTTGGGACGTGTCAGCGAGCGTCGTCACCCGACGACGATCTCTCACGTTTTGCCCAGGCGGGGAGCTATCGGAGTGCGGGGCTTGAGATGAAAAGTCGAATACGTGTAAGAACGAAGTGGATCCCGGCAGGCGAGTCTCCCGGGGGGCGCGATAGATCTCTCTTTTTTTTTCTCTCTCTCTCTCTAAATCGGAAAAAATAATTTTTCTCGCGCAACGTTGAATTACATTTCATTAACACATCTTAGTCGCACTTAATGAGGTCGGAATGAAGAACGATCTTAGCGAAGATGCGCGTGCAAGCGTCGAACAACGGACGCGTCATCATCGTCCTCACGTCGACAGGTCTTATGCGTAATCGCGTTCACTGATTGCACATTTTGCTGACGATGATCGCGCTTTCTATCTTTCTTTTCTTTTTTTTTGGTTGGAAAAAAAAAAGAAAAACGCGCCAAGCGATTTCCTTAAAGCGAAATCGAGTAATGATTAAAGATGAGCAAACAGTTCTGCGTGTGTGTGTGTGTGTATTGTTATTAGAATTCTTTACTTAAATTTATACAATATGCCTTGTATGCGTATATTTCTCAAATACAATGTGCAATGGACCAAGTATGACAGGATTGATATCTTACTCGTGTAATGCGGTGTCCCATCTCAAAGAATTAAAAATTCCACCTTAACCATTTAGCTATAACTATACGTGTCGTATTTCTATCTTCCTTTCTTTCAGAGCAGAGATCGATATGCCTGTTCCCTCCCCCCCCCCCTCCATTTTTCCCCTTTTCCCTTTCCCACTTTGTAAACGGCATCGCGCGTTCGCACTGGCGCCCATGATCATCGAGAAACAATAAGCGATTATCGAAGAGAGAATTGCAGAATCGCTAAATGAAAAGCGGGTGCCGCGTGTGAAATACGTGCTAAGCGAATTGCAATTGGTGGGCAATTGGAGGGCAACGCCCTAATTTCGCCCTCCGAAAACGACGGCCGCGAGGAGGATCCTCCCCTCCCTCCCTCCCCCTCCCCCCTCGGGTAATAAGGTAACACTCGTATGCACTCAATTTTGATTATCTAATCGCTTTATGTACACGGGTCCGGGCGAAATCAAGCGAGGAGCAACGACAGTATTATCTTAACGGTCGATGTATAAAATACGTTTACACATATCCCGACACGGAATCCTAATCCAAAGAAAAATCCATCGTCGCGTAGCCGCGACGACATATAAGACGGGGCAAGCCTCCCTTTTAAATGCTTTGAAAGCTGCCGACCTCTTAGAAACACTATAAATAATCTATCTGCTTCGCACGATTCTCGTACTCTCTACTGTCATTAGTGTATAAAAAGAGAAGCATACATGTCTCATTACACATTACACAATCAAACGGTACACGGTTCTTAAACGGTTTCTCCAAACGGAAACAAAAGAAATTACACTGACACAAGCTGCTTGCGTTCCTCTCCGCAACGAACGTACAGAATATAAAATATGCGCTATAGTAAAATATATGTAAATTTATATAAATTTGGCGAAATATATATGTATATAAATCATAACTAACGTCTAAATTATATATGATATTAAATGTACACTTCATCGTATTCTATAACCTTTGATGAAAGAAAAAGAGGGGATATTAAAATTAACACGTAAATAAATCAAAATTTATACAATAAAAATTCAAAACTTATCGCCCTAAATAAGTATTGTTTCTTTCTCTTGTCCTAGAAATTACGTTTTATTAACTAAAATAATAATGTGGCACCACTCTCTCGCTCTCGCGCTCTCTCTCTCTCTCAATCTCCGTTCAATTACGAACCCTGCGATTTTACAACGGGTCGTCGCAAGTGCAAATTAAAAAAAAAACAAACTATAAAGCAACGTGCTACTTTCCGCTCGCGAGTTTCTCGCGAATCCTTGGCTTGACAAGGAGACAATTCAGGGCACTTCTTTTACTCTGCCTGTCTTTATATAGGCGCTGGACCGTTTTTTTTATGTGCTATCTTTTTTTTTTAACAGCAAGGATTCAGCATAATGTACAGTAATGTATTGTACTTCGAAATCCTTTACCGATCGATCGACCGAGGATTAGCTCAGTGGGGAGGATCGGTAATACTCTGGATTACCTCTCGTTTTCTTTGTCGATACTATTCTTTTTTTTTTTCTTTCATTTCTTTGTATCTTACTCGTATCTTTGTATCTCTCTCTGTTTTACAGAATACACATAACTCCCTACCCCTTCCAGACATGTATATTTGTACATAGTATATTATCATATCCAATGGAAAGTGTACATTAAAATTAACTGAATCACGTACGGTTCACTCACAACATCAAAAATAGACTATTGCAAGAGTGCATTAGTATGTGACACCCTGTAGATTAGTTATTACTCAACTCAAGGTACCGTTCCCACACATTCCGTGACTTTCTTCCCCCTGAAAGGAGTCTGAGACGTAGACGATATGTACAAATTTTGTATGATATCACAATATCGCTCGCATAAATTCTCTGAGACTCTTTTTATCTCTTATCTTTATTTTTTACTTTTTTTTTTCTTCAATTGCGACTTGACGAATCAAGAGATACAAGTCGTTGATCCCGTATCATTGGACTATAATATTATCGCAGCGCACATGATACATTTAAGAATCTTGAGATCCAAACACAAGTTATATATTACATAACAAATTGATTGCAATTTCAAGTGGTGTACCACACGTACATATTGCCTACGATACAGACTCGGCTGTAACTGTAGCGTAAAAAAAAAAGCAACGTTAAGTTAATTTTATGCCCGACCGCGTGGTTTCTTCCTTGAAGAAGGTGCTTCCTCGGACGAAACAACGCCGGTGGTAGCGGCCACACGCTTCGGACGTCCTGCTATTTTACTCGATTGTTGTGTGGCTTGAGCAGAACCTTTAAATTTAATTAGATTTCGTTAAGAAATCTAATTCAAATTCCAAAAACCAATTGTGTGAATAAATCTCTGTTTTGTCCATTTTTGCAAGGTTTCGTTAATAAGATTATTAAGATACTTTAGGCATACATTATTTTTAAAATAGCAGAGACAATTCATTTCAATATGCGATATGTATAGAACGTTTCGTACCTCCGGGTTTTGTTCTCGGGACTCCTCTGGTGCCGTTATTACTTTGCTGCTTGCCGTTCTTCTTTAAATCCAACTTCTTTTCTACATTATTTTTGGTATCCGTCACGGCGGAAACGTTGGTAGCGGGGTTGACAGTAGTTGTGGTAGTCGTAGTAGTGGCAGCAGTTGCAGGAGCACTAGCAGCGGTGGTAGTGGCAATTGCTGTACCAGCTGTAACCGTAGTCGCGACCGTAGTGGCAGCTGCAGTAGCAGCAGCAGCGGTAACAGTGGTAGTAACGAGATCGTTGTCCAAACTGTTGCCGGATTTCGTGCTTCTGTTTAGTGCTCTCTCCGCCCTACTGCTGCCCTTCGCGACTGATTTAGCGATCGCCAGCGCCTTGACCGATCGCTTTTTCGCGCGACTCGCCTTGGACGCTTTCCGATTTCGATCGGACTCTTCCTCATCTGCCTCGTCGTCCGTAGAGCTCGCGACTCGCTTAGACTTTTTTTGACGATTGGACTTCTCGCTGTGCAAGCCTTTTCTTCTCTTCAGCTGCGACTCATCTTTATAAAGTGAAAGGTCCACTGCGAAAAAAAAAAAAAAATGAAAACACATTGCAATTACTCATTTGACATATAAAGCCGTCACAAAGACAATAGACTATAAAATTATTGAACATTTAATTATCATTTCGTAATATCGCACGATTACTCACATCCGTCGGGATGTTCTTCTGTAACTCGTGGCTTCTCAGACACTCCAGCCTCAACATCGATAGCCCGTTTCAAAATATTTTCCGTACGCAGCAATTCTATTCTGGTTAACCAGAATTTATGCTTGTCGACCTTGCTTAGGTTCAGATTTGTTAATATACAGTCAAAATCTGAAAATTAATTAAAATTAAGAGTTAAAAGAGATAAATATACAACATATATTTTTCTGTAATAGACAAATGTACAATATTGCTATAAATAAAATTAATGTGTGATAATACCTATGGTATCATAGAAGTCAGGTGAATAGATTTCGCCATTGGTTTTATCTTGAGACAGCCAACGTATGCGGATGCGTCTGCTGGATTTGTAGATGTTTTGCATCGCTTGACAAACATAAAAGCTTCCTTCTGCATTCCTCACAGCCAAAAATTCATTTCTAAGAATAAACATTTAATAATTAATTCACATTCACAAATAAAGAAATTATCAATAATCAGTAAGAAGTTGAAATAGACTGCGTAAGTGAACAATTAAATTTGAAAGCGCCTCTCATGCGTTTGAAGCATGATCTTGGCATCTTATAATATTTCCATGTAAATTCTAAATTCATTTTTTATTCATTTTTAAGTTGCGCGCCGAATTAATTTCGAATTTGCAACGCAATAATAAACAGAAAAGCATTCTCAAATTTAATAAAGCTAAATTAGATACTAAAATTAGATAATAAAATTAGATAAAATTACTATAAGACAAGATTAAATTATTTAGGTATTTTCATGAAATAGGACTTACTTATAGAACACGATGAGCTTGTCGTCAGCAGCTTTAGAAGGACCAGGAGTTGTCTTGTTGAGATTTTTGACCAGTAAAGCAATTTCCGGCAATGGGCTTTGATAGGGCTGTGTTTGAATCCGGTTTCTCTTAGGTTTACTTGCTCCGTCAGTGACTACAGACGTCGCCTTCAAATCCTTCAGTTCTCTGGATTTTCGTTTGGTTGTCTTCGGAGAGGTAGTGACTTTCGCGTCAGGTTTAAATGTACTAGTTAATGTCGTCGCCGCGGCATTATCGCTCGGTACTTTCGAACTCTGATTTGTGGGACTCTGCTTTGGAACCTTTGGAACCTCGCTCTTGGTTTGTGTCTCTTCTGGCTTATGTGGAGATTGTTTAATATGTACAGTCGTATTAACGGCCTTGCCCTCTGATTCCTTTGATCCATTATTTACAGGAACCTTCTTTTCCTCAACTTTATTTTGTGCCGGTGTGCATACAGCTGAAAGAATAAATATAATTGCATATAAATAAAGTTTTGCATTTATCTTCTTTTATTCTTTTGCAATGTAAGCTTATATATTCATGTATTTTGCTTCTATATCTTTAATTCATGTAATATTCTGTATGTACATATTTTATATAACTCGTTATTTTAAATTTTATATCATACAAAATAATTCAAAGATGGATATATTATCATACGTAATTAAAATACGAGGAAAACATTAACTTAATAATAGAATATAAAGTATTTAAAGTGTTCTCATATTACATTTTCTCAAGATAAATTCTTCTCAAATAAAAACAAAATGTTAATTTTCTCAAGATACACATCTTTTACTTCTCAAGCAAAAAAAAAGTTAATTTACATAAGAAAAAAGAATACAACATGTCACTTACGAGTACTGATTGGGAACTCTATTAAGGATGGTAGCACCGGTTCTGACGATGGCATCTCACACGGTTGCTCCTGAGCTGGAGTTTCTGGACTCAGGTTGTTGTTCCTGTTGGATTCGTTTTGCTTCACAACAGCAGGCACGTCTTGCTCGGTTTCGGTCTTCGTGATCTCCACGCCGTTCGGAATCAACTTCTCGGCCTCCGGCTCCTTCTCCATGTTACTCCCTATGTACGGCGGAGTCTGGTACACCGAGGGTCTGTGATCCTGCACGAGGCTGAGTGGCTGACTGGGTGGCTGTAGCGTGACGTAGCTCAGCCCGCTGCCAGTCAGGGGCTTCATCGATCCCGACTCTGATCCTGGTACCACTTTCTGTGCCATGGCATTTATGGGGAGCATCGGGTGGCTGGTAGAATATACAGCAATGCACCTAGATATATCATTAATCTTAAGACAGATGCGCTCACTTTCGATCGCAGGAAATAATGTTTTCCATTTACGCGCACACGAAATCGCAACAAGCAAGCGGGACGGGACAATTCTCGCAATCAAGTTGTTTACATTGGACTACGTTTGGAGTGGTAACACCGTTAATTGTGCGATTGGAAGCTTTTGCTATAATTACAATTTATTATAATTCAAACGTAAAGGCAAGCTGCGCACGAACGAGATCGTTCGTACAATTACTGTTTGTATTCGGCGATTACGCCGCTAATTAAGCTGAAATACGCTGGCGAGTCTCGTGTAAATTGCCATTCCCGAGGAACGTATCGAGGGGGGAGGGGGAGGAGCAATTAACAAACAAGAAAAAAAAATCGCATGATAATACAAAGTTTATATAACACAATTATCGCCAGGCACATTACGGGCACTTTTCTGTGTATACTCCCACGGCGAACCGTGTATACCTAAGCGCGCTTTACCGCGGACGTAATCCGGTGATAAAGAAAAAAAAAAATGGAAACGTTTGTTTCCGCTAATAGTCGAAGAACGCGCGAGACAGGAAGGAAAAACGCGGGGAGCAAAGGAGAGAGAGAGAGAGAGAGAGAGATAGAGAAATGAATGAGAACGAGAACGAAAGCGAGAGAAAGAGGTGCGGAGCGAGAAGGAGAAGGAGAGAGAAACGCGCGGGGACCGAGGAAGCGGGCGCGTGGCGAAAAGCGGCGAGAAAATCGCCGAAAGGCGGGATAGCGAGGCGAGCGCGGCGGAGGCGAGAGTGGACACGAGGGGCGGCGGGCACGCGCGCGGGGAGGGGGTAATTAAAGGAGTAAACATAAACACGGGCGAGAATTTTCGCCGCGGGGACGCAGCTGGCAGGCGGGACGGAACGCGCGCGCGGCGCGGCGGTTCAGGACGGCGCGCTCGGCTTTACGTTACCTGCGATCTCTCCTGTGAGCGGTAGCGGGGTGGGGGGCGGCCGTGTAACAGGAATCCGCCAGAGAGCACAGTGGAGGGTCCTCCGCTGTCCGGGAGGTTCCGACCGCTCTCTCGCCGCCTCGTCGCGTTGCGTTGCCAACGCTCGCTCGCTCGCACGCACGCACGCACGCACGCACGCACCGACGCACGCACACGGGTTAGCTCGTTCGCCCAAACGCTTGGCCGGCACGCAGTGAGCCCCGTCCCACGCCTATCATTTCACGCGGCGTGCACGCGCCATAGCGGGACAAACGCGACGACGTAAGCCGTACCACGGACGGGCGCGGGGCACTACGCAGAGCACGGTCAAACAAACGCACGATCCGCCGAACAACAAGCACCGACGAGGAGAGCGACGAGGAAACTTCCGCCGCTTCCGCGCTTTCCGTCGACGATGGCCCCTGGCTTTACCAGCGGGAGCGAGCAGGAATGCCAGTCGTTAGATGGCGTCGGTTCCCCCCGGACGCCATGCGTGATTCGACTCGGTCTTCCGTAGCCGAGCGCGCCGATTGGCCGACCGGAGCCGTCCAATCGAGGCGTCGCCCGACGTTAAGGCGCGATTCACAGAGCGCAATTTGGCGCAATTCACGCCATTCACGGCACGACGGCGACGCCGAGTGAGCTCACTCATCACTGGTGGACGCTGGTCAATGCGCCGAACGTAGGCAGTTTGCACTGTTTGCAGCCGTTTCCATCGTCATGAGAGTACACCTAACCTATAGGTTTTTTTTGTGTACATTCACGCTGACCGCTGTCAAGCAGCGTTTCGTCTGATTTGACCAACGAATTTAGAGAAATCGGTAAGAAATGCGAAGGCATATATTTTAATTGATAAATTTATACGTTAACTAGTAAATTGAACTTGTACTCCGCGGTTTGACAGAACCAATGTAAAGATTTGTAAAGAACAACAGTTGATATACAAGTTAAAAGTTACTGGTTTAAAAATAAAAATAAATTGTTACGAGAATTATACGGATAATCAAGATATCATTTACCTGGACGACCGGTTTACTAAATGTCTTTGCCTTATATGTTAATTCATTAAATTCACAGTCCTTAACAATCGCACGCCTCTTATTTCTTTAAACGCTCTCGTCGGATTTTGGTAATGTAAGGCCTTACAAAATTCGCATTCTTAGATCATGACTATCGTATCGCTTTTTCATATTCAAAGAAATCGGACGAATAACATTGGATGAACGATATTCTAATCATCAACAAGTTGATAGCAACTTTGTTGTTGAGACAATCGTGTTTTTAAATTCGTATCAATTCATTAATTTGAATTAGAATTGAACGACAATTGTTTATACCAACACAAGTACATATATTGACCGTGGCAAATTAAAAAAAAATGACAGGATCAGGATGAACATCCCGCCGATTCAGCAGCCGGGCGCTATGGGCGTGGGACAAATGGGACAGTCGGTGAATCCTCAGCTGCCCCAGAATCAACAGCAGGCGCAGCAGACGCAGCAGCAGCAGGTGCAGCAGCAGCAGCAACAGCAGCAGCAGCAGCAGCAGCAACAGCAGACGCAGGACAAGCTCGACAATATCTCCAAGGTGAAGTCTCTGGTTGGACCTTTGAGAGAGTCGTTGGCCATAGCGCTGAAAACCGCCGCGCAGACGTTGCATCAGAACAGCCTGGTCGACGTGGGGACCATGAAGGGCATCGAGCAGCCGGATCATCGATTCAACAAGAACATGGAGGAGTTCTATTCAATTTGCGACCAGATAGAGCTGCATCTCAAGACCTCCGTGGAGTGCCTGTCCCAGCACGCCAGCTCGATGCGCTACATGCCGATGAACGTTATAACGAGCCGCACCGACACGGTCAGCACGCAGGAGGGCCCGTCCGGACCGGCGTTGTCCTATCCGCAGTTCCTGATGACGGTGCACGCGCAAGTGAACTACGCGCGCGACATTCACGACACTCTCATGTCCTTCGCTCGCGCGATAGCATCCGGCGAGCAATCCTAATTTCGGCGAATTTCAGAGAAGACGTCTTTCACGTCTGTTTCTCGGACAAAGTGAGAACATTTATAGATTCTACGAAGGACGATCGTTACAGATTATTTCGCAATATAGTAATAAGTTTTTATTTAGATATTGTTATTTAATAAATTTATATGCAAACCGAAATATATATACATTGTTATTATGTAATTAATATGTGTAAGAAAGAAATGCAAGATGTCTCCTATGTAAACATCTTCGAGCTGATGAACAAGTTCGAGCGCGACATTTGACGATCGAAGTGGATGAAATTAACAATTCGCTGTAACGAGAGATTCAAGTTCTTATTGTCAATTAAGCAATTTTATTTTGAGACGCGTTCGGTGATTATTTTAACGGAAAAATCGTGATCTCTCATCTACAAGCTTGTAAAACATTGATCGTTATGACTTGGGGATTTCATGCGCGATACAAGTCATCATTATACGGAGATCCTTCAAGATCTCCAAAGTCAATTGCGAAACGTATCGAGTGCTGTCGATCGCGAGTTCGTGTGACGGCGTAACGTCGTTAAAGTCTCGTTAGAATTCCGCGAACGGGACCATTGCCTAAAGGCGCGCTCCACTCCCTTCCCGCCCCGCGCGTATCCGTTTAATGCCACGCCGAAAGTTCGCACGTAGCGGGCAGGACGCACCGTCGACGCGGCGGTACAATAAACTCGGAAGCGCGCTTACATTCCGTAACAGCTATACCGGTCGAACGCCGCGATTTGCGGTCACGTATAGCACAGAAAATACGGAACGGCCACGGGGGGTGGGAGGGAGGGGGGGGGGTGCCGGAAAGGCGTGCAGGAAGCGCTACTGTCAGTTGGATTGGTGTTTCGTAGCGGCGCGCCGTACGATCATTCGAAAAGGAAGGCCCACCTCTGTTCACCATATTTGGCAAACTTTCCCTAATATGGTAACGTCTACTTCTAAATATGGCAGCCGGGGACGCCCTCTCGGCGCGCGGTGTACCACTGCGCGGCCGCACTCGCGGCCGAATAACGTCGGAACGGAGACGCGCGCGGACGAACCGCCGATCGGACGGGACGGTGCGGATCCCGGGCGATTTTTCGACGCCGATTTCGGCGCGGATCCTCGTCCCGACGTCGCCACGGCGTTACGGCGGACTAGTTTTTCACGGCGTGGTCGCGCGACGGTGGGGGGAACGGTCGGGCCGCGCAGCGCAGCAACACACGCGGAGGCATCGCCGCCGCCACCGCCGCCGCCGCGCCGCCGTCGCGCCGCTCCGCGCCGTCGTGGTTAAGCACGTAGGTCAAGTTACGATACTCCGGTCTGCGCGCATTCAGTTCGCGGGGAGCGCTCGTGCGGTGCGTGTTGTTGTCCCGTGTTCCTCTAGATGATCGATCACGTGGTGGACACTGCGCCGAGTTCCGCACGCGATTCCGTCGCGAAGACGCGCCGCCGTCGTGGGGAAGGGATTAATAAATGTGCGCGTCGACGTCGCGATGGACAACCCTAGCGGCGGACGAGACGGTCGGTACGCGAGCCTCGGCTACAGCATGGGGATGATCGGGGGCGATGCTGGCACGGAGATCTACGGCCGACCGTCCACCTCCCAGCTCGCGGCGGCCGCGGCGGCGGCGGCGGCGGCTTCGCAGATGGGCCGCGGCGGCGCCACCATGATGTCAGCCGCGGGCGCCGCGACGCCCGGCGTCGGCCCGGTCCAGCGGGGCATCAAGCGCACCACCTCCGACGTCTGCTACGGCGGCGACGACGGCAATAACCCCGCGGCGCGGCAGCAGCAGCAGTCGCTCTCGCAGGGCATGCCCGCCGCCGGCATGCCCGGCGACTGCGTGCCCGACAACCTCGACGAGTCCTTCACGAGTCTGGGCCAGCCGAAGAAGTCACCCCCGTCGAACGGCAAGAAGACCAAGGGCCGGGTTAAAATTAAGATGGAGTACATCGACAATAAGCTCCGGAGATACACCACGTTCTCCAAGAGGAAGACCGGCATTATGAAGAAGGTTTGTATATCGTAGCGACGACGTGCAAACCTGTCTCTCTAATGCACGCGGTTTACCGGCTTCCCGCTCTCTTTCTCTCTCTCTCTCTCTCTCTTCTCTCTCTCTCTCTCTCTCTCTCTCTCTCGACTCTTTTCTGCGAAACGCGATAACCGCTCGTGGGCGTAGAGTGGACTCTCGACGGCGTCGTCTACCTCTCTCGCGTCCTCTTTTGTAATTTCAAGTGCTCCGAGAGAGGGAGGGAAAGAGATAATAAAAAAAGGAGAATGTGCACGTGTGTGCTTGTGTGTGTGTGTGTGTGTGTACGTATGCGCGCGCGCGCGTCAACTTCTGTGAAAATAGTATCCACATCGACGAGACTCGGGCACGCCAACGATGGTTTTCACGCGCGGTTTTCTCTCCCGCTTGTCGCGACGACGGCGACGGGATCAACGGGATGCTGCGCGAGGGCTCCGGCGTGCGTGCGTGCGTGCGTGCGTGTGCGCGCGCGCTCGTGTCCGCGATTTACGAGTGACAGTACTCGCGCTCTTCCGCGACATTACGCGCTTGCTAAAGGGGGCCGGTTGCTCGTGCACTTGGAGCTGGCAGTTAGCGTTTACTCCGATTAACTTTTTGTGTATCCCCCTGTCGGAGATTAATCCAAATGGGAAGCGCGAATCCGCTTCCGATTTCTTGATATATTCTTTTTTTTATTAGAGACAGAGGAAGGAAAGAGGAGAATACAATTCAGTCCCAATCAAAGCGCTCTGTTGTTGATTTTTGCCATAATCCAATCTTGTCGCTACATCTCGAATGTGCGAAATTGATTGTTTTTACTGATAAATAGTTGTATAAATCTCGGTTATTATGAATCAATACAGGTAAACAAACATTAAAGTTAATTTATCATGAATTTCCATAAACAAAAATAAATATAGAGATTTTTCACGCATTTTTGTAATATTTATATTTGGAGGCATTTTATAATCTAAATATTTGCAAGTCGTTATATACATCGGATAAAATGTACGTGGGCAAAAATTTTACGATTTTATTTTAAAAAGATAATCCTTTTTCCGTCGACGATTTTTACGTAAATCTCGCGAGTGGAACTAAAAGGTATTTTGGTCCGGATATCGTTGCAATCGTGCAAATTTTTAAAGAATTATTAGAGCGGTCTCTTGTTTTTTTTTCGCGCTCTTAATAAAGCATCTGTCTTCTTTTTTTCTCTGTTGCATTATTCTATAGATTGTTATTTTGAAAAAAATCTTTAAAATATCTTTTTTTATTTTTATCAACTATTGTCACGCATTTTTCTTGTATTAACAAAAATAGTTTGACGTACAAGTTTCTTTCACTAATGTTCCACGCGCATACAAGTTTCTTTCACTAATGTTTTGTTTTTAAAGTCAAACATATTTACCATTACTGTCAAAATCAATAATGGGTATATCTTTTGTTTTGTAATATCTCCTCCATTTGGAGAACTTGCCTTCTATAGATACTCCAGCGCAGAGTCTTTTAATCTAGGGTGTCGTTCGTACTTCCTTTTTCATATTATCTTTCCTACGTTCTTCAAAAAACCGGACATGCACGAGAATGTAACCAGCTCTTTTTCTTTATCGTTTCTGTTTATGTTTTTTTATCACTTAATATGCGTACTACGACGTAGATACTACGACGGTGACTCCTATTTTCTTGCTCAAGTTAAAAAGTGTGTGTAAACATATTTTACGAAGACGCGAAACACAGGAGATGTCAGACAATCACCGTGACCAACGAAACTCGTATGTCAAAATTAGAACGACGATTAAAATACACTGGTACTAAATCGATCGTTAAACATAGATAATAATATCGCGCGAAAATGCCTGAATGGTCTTGAATATCATAAAAGGTTGAGATCGCACGTTCGCGTTGTTTGTTATTCCAAAAAAGTAATATTTAGACTAATCTCTCTTTCCCTCTCTTTTTGTAATATATGTATATTTTTCGAGCTGGAATAGATTTAAATAAAATTGTCTATTTACAGAAAGGTGACTGTTAATTCTGAACTGCGCGTTCTGTCTCTCTCCCTTGCCTTCCAGTTTATTACTTTCCACATTGCTAGAATTTGTCTTCTTTACTTTATTTTTTTAAATAAATATCTCTTCTTTTCTGAAAAGAAACTTGTAAGCCTAATGTAAATAGTTCGAAACTCCACATTATTTTTATGTTCATCTAAAAATATTTTAACGATGTCGTTTATAAATAATTATAATGCATTGAAATGATATATGTGAATTCATTGATTGACACAATTTGCATTAGCTAATAGTTGAAAAAAATAATTTTGCAATCTAATTTCGATTATTTCTCATGAGATATTAAATTGCTAATCGAAAAAGTATATGATATTATGGAATATATATGTTAAAGATACAATCTTACTACAAATAAAGTGTTAAGAGCTTATAGTTTAAAATGCCGGAGTAAAGTCAATAGAAACGCTAAAATATGTAAAATGATATCATTTGGGCAAGAGAATTAAAGCGATTTGCATGCTCGGAAACGATTAAATTCATGAGCTCGTGTTTGATTAAAGACACGCGATTGAAACGGTATTTACGAAGAACGGGCCTAAATAATGAGGCCTACATAAATAAAAAAATGACTAACCTTTTAATTAACTACATACTAATTTTTTTTTAACTTTTAGTTTTAATTAGATATCCATGTCGAAATATCTCCATATCTGTACATGCATTTTTAATTGTCCTTGAAATGATCTGAATTGTGTTTTAATAGAAATCGCTGAACGACTTCTTGGTAAAGAAATTTCAATTTCAGCTTTCACACGTTTCGCAAAACGTGTTTCAAAAGTAAGGCAAATAATGGGCATATTGTTGCATACATAAATACAGATATGCGCATCACACATACATACTTGAGACCAGACACATTACATCGCGATAATATTGTATATATTCGCCACAGCCTTGAAATTTAATTATGACACTGATTACAGTTTCGTAAAGTTACGCGCAATTTGATTTCGTTACTTTCTAAACTGATAATACCATGTATCGTGATGGGAATTGTTAGCGTAAATATCAAAATTCTCACCGAAAATTGAGTAAATGTTCAGAATAGAATGTATAAAAACTCAATAAATAATGCTCTTCCATTCACTCTTTATCGTATATATTCAGAAAATGTATTTAAAAACCACTGGCCAATTTTATTCTTATAAACATTTGCAGGTACTAAATATCATCGTTACAAAATCAGATAAACTTAAGTGCTTTATATGTATCTCTTAGTGATTATTTTTGAAAAATTTATTTGATTATCCTGCGATGCTATCTAAATGGCCTGTAACATGATTACGTTTCCGTTGCCCACGTTTAAATCGTTTCTTTGAATTTGAAAACTATTTTTTATGTTGATGTTATATGTTTTATATTGATATTACCATCATCAATATTTATTCTTCCATTCGAAGACTAAGACAAATACATATATTTCAATATTTCGCAAGTAGAATATCAGCGTGAAACATTACAAATATCGTAAAACGTGTCACGCAAAAAGAATATCTCATGCAATAAAATAATAGATTATTATAAAAGCAGATCGTATTCGCAACGATATATTCGTCAAATAAATACATTCATGCTTTTTCCAGTTCTTTATGCGATACACGGAGAGATCGAACGAATTGGTTTTACGAATAAATGACGATACAAAATATTTGGACGCAAGACAAGTGAAAATCCGTTTGTCGGAGGGAAATTAACGAGCTGTCGATGTCGCGTGTTTGCAGGCGTACGAGCTGTCGACGCTGACCGGCACGCAGGTGATGCTACTGGTAGCGAGCGAGACCGGCCACGTGTACACGTTCGCGACGCGCAAGCTGCAGCCGATGATCACGAGCGACGCCGGGAAGGCGCTGATCCAGACGTGCCTCAACAGCCCGGACCCGCCGCCGTCGGGCTCGTCGGGCGACCAGAGGATGTCGGCGACCGGGTTCGAGGAGACCGAGCTGACGTACAACATCGCCGACGACGAGCAGAAAGTAAGGCAACTGGTGTACGGCTCGCCGCACGGTGGTTCGCTGCACGGCGGCTATCCTGGTACCGGGCCCGGTAGCGGGCCAGCGGGCGGCCCGACCGCGGGGGCCCATCCGCCGCCGCCGCCACCGCCGCCGCCGGGCTCGCAGCACGCGCCACCCTCGCACGCGCAGCACGCGCACCTCATAGCGCATGCACACGCGGCGGCGGCCGCGGCCGCCGCCGCCGCCTCGCCGAGCTCGCACCTCGTGCCGTGCTCGAGCCCGGGCCCGATGCTCGCCGGCGGCCCATACCAGCAATCATGCCCCTCGCCCCTGCCGCCCCATCACGCCGCCTACCATCCCCACATGTCGCACTCGCACCCCCAACGGTAGTACGCGCTCGCCGCTCGTCGGCCCTTCGCGCTCCGTCCCCCGTACCCGCCGCATTTCACGTTTTAGGAAGTTTGTTGAAGGAAGAAATTGGCGGAATGTTACAGAGAGAGAGAGCGAGAGATCGCGCGTTGTGCGTATAGCACTCGCGATGCCGAGACGTAGTCGGAAGAGAGAGAGGAGACTTGTCTCGCGTTGGTGCTCGTCGTGGGCTCGATTTGGTAAAGCTACGCGAGGTAGTAACGGTTATTCGCATCAGCGGCGTAAAGAAAATTTATGTGCAATTTTTATGTGCAAAGCATTATATATCGCGACGTTCGTAAAACATCGTGCGGCGCGCGTGCTAGTTGAATTAGGTTTCAATTTGATTTCAGCGCGAGTTGAGAATTTTTTATTCGATAACGATAAAGGGATCGTAGATCACAAAAATCCAATTTGAACGAATCAGAGATTTGGACGGTCGGAGCTCAAATTGACTGCAAAAGTGAGATAAATCACCGTTCAGGTGAATTCGCGCGTTACATATTCGATAATTTTTAAATATATTTCGACATTGCAAGTTTATGGCAGGTATTTGGTTCGTTCTTTTTGAGGGGGTTGTTTCTTTCTCTTCACAATTAAATCTGCTCTCCCGAGAAATACGGCGTATTTTAGCGTACGCCGACGCGAGGCCGCGCGCGGCGCGCTTGTAGATACCGAAATAATTTCTCTTCGGGCATCGCGCGTACCCCACTGACGTAATATTTCCCTTTAGACGTCGTATCGCGCCGGCGAGCGTGCCGTAGAGTCACGTATGGTATTTATTGAATTTATATATACGCGATGGACGCGCGCGAAAGATTGTAGGCTCCCCTTGCGATCGAGTATTCTTCAGCGTTTGGCCGTACATGACTGCGGCCGATCCCGCGCGCGCGCATATCTAGTCCAATCTCTCGACGTTTTTTTTTTTTTTTTACTTAAATATATATACTTAAATATATATCCATACGTTACGTACATACATATGTATATACATACATCATGTACATATATATGTATATATGTATATCGGTGAATCTCTTGATTAAATATTGCGTGCCTTGAATTTGGTGCTCTCGCGCGCGACAGGGTGGAAGGGCGGAGGCGAATCGTGGAAGGATAGAGTGATTCCCATTTGAGACGATATTGCATACAGCGAAAAGGGAACGCAAGTCCGCCGTCGGCGCTTCGCGGGAGCGAATCGCAGACGGATTCAGTCCACGATCGACGATCTCGCGAGATCACGCGAGCGGATTGTAAGATTCGATCGGACGAGTATCGTTCAATATCGGTCTCTTGAGGATATGAGTAGTGGATATCCCTGTGGTAGACGAAGTCCAAAGCTCGGCGTGTTAGATGAAATAGTAAATGCATCGACGAGAGTCACCGTGCGATAGAAAGACATTGCGAGGAAAAAATATCTTATTATATATATATATGATTAATGGATTAATTGATTAATTATGTCGTAGATTATAGATACGTAGCGTAGAATCGTGTGATCAATTATCCAGTGAAAGTAACGAATAGAATATTCGAGTATTCCGTTTGATACTCACTCGTCCAACAGCTCTCTCAGTTTTTTCTTTCGTTTTTTTTGTTTACTTTTTTTTATTTAACTTAAATCGCATTATTTATTGAGACGGTCGATCATTTTTTATTTATTAGAGACAAAAATGCAGTGCGTGTACGCACATCGTTATTGTTAAGCATTGGTCGCGTCGATACTTATATATATATTTTTTCGTATCGTGTATTTTACAAAGCGTTTGCAGAAAATACTCTTTCTTTCCCTATCTCTCTTCTTAAGGGGAGATTCGATGTACTTATTTATCTCTATTGATCTTATCGAGGGGAGCAACGATCGCTGTTAGAAGAAAAATTCGTCCTACGACGATATATGATATTGATTCACCGAATTGGTGGTGTGAGTGCGAATTCGGCGGTGCACGCTTAAATACTGTTACGCATTTTTTTTTTTTCGTTTTGTTGAGCATCGTATTTTTTGTGTCTCGTCCACTGTTTCTCTCTTTTTTTTTTATTGTTTGCCGTGTAACGTGTTGTGTACCGCAACTGGCATGCGTAGTTATTTGGATTGTCTTTTCTCGCAGAATAAGTAGCTAGTATTTAGATTTACCTTTTAATTTAATCCATCCCTCCCTCCTCTCCCTCCAATCTCTCCTGTATCCCATATCGACTCGTTTATCGATATTGTGCATGCGTACGTATTGTGTGTGTATGTATTGTTTGCTGATACTCTGTATTATATCGTGGAAGCGAGAACCGAGGAGAAGGCAAAGGTAAAAAAAGAGGAGCAAGACCGGGGAGCGAGGGCCTTTAATGGGCCCTCGATCAAATAGATATATATATATACATATAGAAACTGTAATCTACCGCGCGTCTCGACATGCAGAGAGTACAAATAATAATAATAATATCAATTATGATTTTTAATGATAATCTGCGAAATATTGCGGCTCTTTCACATAATTAGTTTGTATTTTAGCATTTTTGTACATAGCATAGCAACTGTAAAAAATACTGTGATAATATTTATATATTTTTACGCCTATAAACACATCACACACACACACACACACACACACACAAATTTCACCTTCGTCTTTGATAATATAGTCCCTGCGATCAAGTGACTTGATTTTCTGCTGATAGATTCTCATTGCGCACGATGTCATGTTTTACTCTCGCGAGCCAGGTAGGTATATTTCTCAAAATTCATAGTTTCTTTTGCAAATTCGAGTTAATCTTTACACACACACAAAATTTCTGTCGAATTATGCGGGATAAGCTTTCGATTTTCGAGTAAACAGTGGAAATATTAAGGGTCTCATAAAAGTATTATATATAAAATATATAAAAGAACATTTTTTTCGCGATACATACGTAAATCTTTCGTATAATTTATATATGTGAAACTTTCGAATAATTATTGATAATCCCTCATGAATGCTGTTAGTATCGTAAAATAATTTCGTAGATGCGTTCGATAAATCGATATAAACTTTTATCAGAAAGACGCTTTTTCGTTGAATCTCTTTCGCAAAAGTAAAAGTAAAAGTAAAAAGCGAAGGTAAAATTAAAAAGTGAGAGATTCTGAATCACGAAGCATCGGTAACGGAGATGTTACAATCTTATATTTCGCGTTTCGCCCGACATATGCCTATTTTTGACAATCTGGTTCGGGATATATTTAGAGGTCCAGAAACATTCCGCGGGGTATGTTAGGGATTCCTTTATTTCTAACGGTGCGTTAGAAATAAAACTACCATGTATATGTTGTATCGAGAGTTCAATATCGTTGTTGCATGGCATTTTCTGGAAAATGACAACGTCATGCGATGCTCGGAGATGAGACAGACACGCGCGGAAGCGCAAGGTAGGTTTTTGCGTTTCAATCGAAATAATACACCCGATGTATTTCTAACAGAGGCACTCGACCGTTGTTTAATGTGTTTAATTAGCTAATAACAATACATGTGCACGAAGAATCTTCGGCAAGCGTCGATCTTTGACTTGAGTCTAACATGATTTCGATTAGCGAAACATCGATGATATTCGCGTCTCGATTGAAACATCAAGAAGCACCTTTCTGAAGATCGAAATCATTAAAAAAAAAAGCCGTCGCACACAATACAGAATAGATACGTTGCATCGCGTGCGTGCAATGGATGCAGGTAATTTTTGTCGCATGTTTTTTTTTGTAAGCACATAAGACAGCGTTAATAGTAAGTAACAATTAATGCAGATTACGAATATTGTATCCCGAAATACAAAACATTGATGATGCGTTTGAATGTCTCCATGATTTCATTTTATGTCGATCGACGTATAACGCTTCTCTTATATCTTTATATCCAGCTGTTCTGTCAAACTTTACACAGGCGAGATGTAAGCTTGTGTTAAGCGCATAGCTTGCAGATTATATCCTCTCTTTTTTTGCGTGTGTACGATTTTCGAGAGTAAAGTCGAATGACGAGTGCTTGATGCTCCGCTTAAAGGAAACGGAAGTAAAAGTTAAAGGGTAAGAAACGCAAGTCAAGATGGTATGGCAGCTTGTGGAGATCTTTATTCCTCTTCAACGGAATGTCGCCCACCGTGAGGTTCGTTCTCCATTTTGTTTTTCAACGAAAGAATAAGGATATGGCTTTGGCAAACGTTAGATAATCCATAAAATCTATGGCCAGAAATTAAATCAGTATTTATTGCAATATTTTTTGTGATGAACTTTTTACGAGCTTTCCCGGTTACGGCTGATTCTTCGCTCATTTCTTCAGCTGCCCGAGGGTGCCACGTTCTCAAGGCCCTATTCGCAGATGGCGCTAGCGCACTCCCTGATGGTACCGGAAATGCGCATGGAGCTTTCGGTACCCCGGGGGGGGCAGCGAATACCGCGCGAGGTCAAAGCACGGTTTATGATTTAATGGGCGTAACGATGCCGATGAATGCCGTTCATTCGTTCGTTTGTCCATTCGTTTGTCCATCCGCTCGCCCGGGGTTGCAGACGAAGAAGACGCGCATCCAGGTGTCTCGCCTCTCGGCGGGCGCGCCGAAGAGGGAGGGCAAAAGCGAGGGAGGGAGAGAAAGAGAGAGAAGAATAGGAGAACGAGGTCTCCCCCCCCCCCGTGATACCTCTCCGCGAGGGAGACTAAAGGAGAGAAAGAGAGAGAGAGAGGGAACGAGATCCGCGCGCACTCTCACGCACGTATACGCACGTACGCACGCACGAAAGGTGGAAGCGGAGTTCCATATACGGTCACCTTTGTCAAAGCCCGGTTGTCGCCATATACAGGCAATGTTCGCGATGGCAGACACTTATATAGAGCCCGAGTTAAGAGTCAGGAATGTTGCTTTTTGTCGCGCCTTCTCTACACGCGCGCACGCACACACACACACACGTGCGCACCCTCCTGCCTGGTTCCGCGCGGTAAATGCGCGGGGTAGGAAAAGCGTGTATGAGAAACGGCGCGCAAGACGGAAGCGAGAGAACGCGACCGAGTGCTCGTCGCCGTCGCCGCTGCCACCGCCGCTGCCGCGGCTTTTCGAGCTTTCCAATTGGTACCGCACACTTTCTCGACTTCCCGCGGACGATTCGACGAACACGTGATTCGCACACGCGTGCATTCCAGCCGTAACGCTGCTTCGGACGGTGATCAACGCGAATCAGCAAGATGGGAAAAACGTGTAGTCTCGTTCAACTCGAGAGAGTCTTCGAACAATGCGGTATAACTGAGGAAATCAACTTTTTTGCAGTTCAATCTCTGTATAACGATGTATTCTGCGATTGAAAAAAATTGGAAGCGAGAAACGTTGAATTTCTTACTTTCAGGAAGAGATTCTTGCGTTTTGCAAAAAAAAAAAAGAGACAGAATCGGTCTGTTACAATACTTGCGAATATAATACAGTAGAACTGTAACATTATATATAAAACGCATCCTTACGATGTCTTTCATATATCTACGTCAGTTACAGATATAACAATGTCAATTCTCACAAAAAAAGTCCTAAAAGATTCATCACGAAAAAATATTGCATAAGTAAATTAATTATGATTGTCGGGGTTTAATCGGCGGATTAAAAAAACAGATGGAAACCGAAATCTCACTGGTATACTACTCGAAAGAGTGGTAGAAAATCGCACGCGTCGCGGCGAAGCGCGGGGGGGGGGAGGGAGGAAACGGGCGCCGGGGCGGGAAAGCCTCGCGCGAGAAGAGCGCTCCCCTCGGCGCCGAGGGGTCGCGAGCGAATTCGCGAAGAGGATCGCCGTCTTTTCCGCGGGTGCATCGCGCGCGCTCGCGCGAGCGGAGAGTCCGCGAGAGATGGCCATATAAGGAGCGCGGACAAGATGCTCGCGCATCTCTCTCTGCGTCCGCTAGGTAGGTAGGTAGGTAGGTAGGTTGGTAGGTAGGTAGGTAGATAGGTATAGGTACGCACGTTTGTACGTACATACGTGCGTATGTAGCGCGTTCGGTAGCGTTTATCTTATGTGTTTCTTTGCTTGTCGTTGTTGTCGTTTAGAGAGACCGCGAGACCGATCCTCTCCTCGCGAGAATAGGCGCGAGTTATCCATCCGCTCCGATCCCCCGCGCCCCTCGACGACGGCCCGCGTTCGGCACACGTCTCTGTAATGCTGTTTTTCTGTCGGTTTCAGGAGGACGGCGCGTCGCCCAGATCCGACGTCTGCGCCAACGAGAGCGACGGCGAGAGCAGCGACGGCGACTCCAAGGATCCTCTCAAGATCAATCACTCGGGTGAGTCTCGCGCGTGGCTGCCGTAGGATCGAGAGGATCGCGCTGGGAGGACGGATCTGTGCTTGGATTAGAATTCGTAAAGCCTGGCTTCTCTCGTCCTCCCCCCCTCATGAGTTCCCTGGTACGCGTGGAATACTGTACGCTTTCTAAAACATTATATGATATACTTGTAGGCTTGTATGTGACATTCGTCCCGTATGCGAGAGCGAGAACTTTTTTTTTTTTATTGTCTTTGTCCGAACTATTTGAACTGCAGGATCAGATGTAGAATGCAACTATAGTCTAAAAAAAGAGACAAAAGAGAAATATCCAGGATTCAGGAAGTTGAAGTCTCGATGGAGATAAATGGTTGTACGATTTATTTCCATCAATATGTGTTTCTCTTAAAATATGTGTACAAATTTATATTAAAATTCTGAGAAATCATTTATTTATTTATATATATATATTATTTTTTTTAATGATCAAGTGGCGCAGACGTTCAATACACATCTTCTATCGCGATACTTTTGCAGTTCAAAATAGAAGTAATATGAGATCCTCGAAAGTTAAACATACGGAGAGGAGACCGCGATATCTAGGTCTCGGAAAAATGACATACTCGTATTTGATGTGATCTCGTTGATTCGTGCATTATTCTTCGAGTTAACGCAAGGTCCGCTTGAATCTCCATAAGCGCTGAAACGGAGCGCTTTTGAGTTCGCGTTGTTGTGGCGTAAAACCGTATCGCACACCACTTACGCGGGCACGATTATTACAGCCGCCCGAGTTTGCGCAAGGTTCACTTGTCAGATTAAGTTCTGCGGTTACGTCGATTTTCTGTCATTCATGGCCGCGATTATTCATGATATACCTTTCGCTGTTCCACATGGAGAGATATGCCTCCCACGTAACGGATATTTTTTTTTTTTTTTTAGAATTTTCATGCAACGTGTCTTTAGCAAATCGTGTATATTACGTTGGAAATTGCGAGGTGTGTGAACATAAGTCAACTGTATACATATATAGGGGCAAACTTTTCGTGGCGCGAATTTTTCATGTTGTCGATCTTTCTCTCTTTCGCAAAAAGAGTAGAGACCGTTTTTTTTTTCGTGTCGAGCTTATCGAAAAAGCTCGCGATTAAGGAACGATCCGGAGAACGAGATTGCCGGATCGCGCGCGAAATCGCGTGGCGTGCGTCGGCCGGCAGCCCCCTCCCCTCCCCCCCTTCGCGTCGTCTGTATGCTAATCGCGTCGTCTAATTGTCGTCGATACCATTCGCGTCGCGCTTGACCTCATCGCGCATTGATAACGAACAGCTGGTCGGACGGCGCGGCGGGCGGGGGGTAAACATACGCGCACACGGTGTACACACCACACCGGTGCAGCGGACGGACGCGAGAGGAGGAGGAGGAGGATGTGGAGAAGGAGGTGAGGGAGGAGACGAAGAAAGAGGGAGCGAAGCGTGAGAAAAGGTGGGAGGGAGGTGCGGGGCGGGGGAGGAGGGGGAGAGAGAGGACGTTTAAAATGCGAAAGGCGTGCGAGCGATGACGGGGTTATCCGTGTAGGGAGTACGCAAGCAGTCGCGCGCGGCACGGCGATGACCAAACTTAGACGGCAACCGTGCTGCCTAACTGGGAAGTAGGATCCGGTCGAAAGCCGCTCGCCGTCCGCGTCGCGCCGCGCCGCGCCGCGCTCCGCAAAAGAGCGCTCGCGCGCGCGGATGCAGGTGTACACATAAATATCGATGCTAATGCGCGTCGCGTGGATGCCATTCTATCGCGCTGCTTAACCCGATCGCCGCGTCGCGATCGCGCTTCCTTTTTTCTTTTTTTTTTCCCTTCCTCGCTCGGACTCGGCCGACCGGCCGTCGCTCCCGTCGCGTCGGCCACGCGAATTCGACGCGATTAAAGTCGGCGCGACGCGACCCGCCGCCGACTTTATTCACCGTCCCCGCGTACGAGAGGGCGACGAATGCATAATATATCCCTGCGGCATATAACGAAGGCGCGTGCGAGAGATCGGCCGGTCGTTATCGGGAATGTGTACCGCGTGCGCGGAGTGCGCCTTTAATTAGGCGCGTTTGTTCTGGGCTGGGATAGGTATAGAAAGCGCATGCGAGAGACGTTTTTTTTTTCCGCGTATAAACGGGAAACGTGTAGAACGTTGTCCTTGAAAGAGTTTTTCGATATACTAACAGACGCTTTTCGCACTGAGCACTAATGTACAATAATTTTGCAAGACCTAACAGATTTGTAACTGCAGCAGAGTATACTTCTGAGGCAAAATTCGAGGAAATATTATTTGAAGCATTTGTTTGCAATAATGTTATCTATTTTCAAGTATAGAATACGCTTACGAAGGAATGTTTGCTATACGTATTAACACTAATTAACGCTTACATTTTATCGCTCGCCAAGAGTTTTATTCACATATTGATTGATAAGCCAGCATTAAATATGAAGTAGTTATTATAGAAACGTTAGATACTCTATGATAATATTTATGGATTTATGTATTGAGGTGCCTATTGCAAATAATCTAATTGCCGAAATTAGGTTTTCAATTTTAAAGCGTTAAATGATTTCATAAGCTATTAACGCTGCATGAAATAAAATATAAGTTATTAACTTACGGAACCATATAAATGCTTTAAAATAGGCAGCCGAATTTTGGCAGTGCTTATTACTTTTAGATTACTAAATCACTTTAAATCATATATGTTATACATGATTTAAATGTGGCGAATATATTCGGCTAAACAACTTTAAATTATGTTTTACATGATTTAAATGCGGCGAATATTCGGCCACATCAGTTTGAAAATATTATTAATTACGTTACTCTCGATAAATGATTTCGTGGTTCGCGCGCGACTGTTATTCTTTTAAATTATTTTCTTTTGCTTTTTTTTTACTCTTACTTTATCCCCTGAAAATTTATCGTGTATCGCTAAGAGGCACGCATATATATAACGAAATGCAATAATTCATATGGAGATATGGTTGAATCAGAGCGCAAATTCGCACTTGGGTGGTCCGGTTTGAAATCTCGACTCGCGGGGCCGTCATTCCTAAGTTTTTCTCGGCGATATACATCTGTACCGGGGGAGAGAAAACAAGTTCAACTTTAACGTCGAACGACGTTGCATTTCACAATTTCGATACAAATAAGGGATATACACGGGAGCCTCTCTCCTATATTTTACGTCATTCGTATCTCCTCGTCCGCTCTCGGACGTATATACGTGCCGCCGCGCCGCCCCGTTGATTCTCCCGTCCCAGAAAAAAAAAACGGAGTAACTCATCTCGTAACTCGTCGGGATATTGGAGGGCGGAGTACATAAAGTGTTTAAAATATATCGCGAAACCGAGAAGTCCGGCGGACTTTAACGCTCAAGTGTACAATAACCCGCCCGCGAAACATCGCGCCGATCGCGTCCGCGCGGCCTGCAACCACAGCTCACCACGCTCAATTCCTCTTTGATTTCCTAGGAAATGTGCCTTCGTTCTCTGCAGGGATTATGTACCAGGTGCCTCAGAGCGTCATTTATTCGCCGAGTCCAGGGGTCTTGCTCGGCATAGGACAAAACGGGCAACCGGTGCAAATATCTCAGGACGGAGGTAGGTTTTCTTTCTCCGCGCCGCGCCGCGCCGCGCTGCGCTCGATGAAGGAGGAACGTACGCGGGTTTTACGCGCGGTGGAGTTTACGCAACGCAATGTCGCGCGGCACGCGTTTCGAAATGCCCTTACGCGAGAGGCGAGAGAGGGAACTCACGGGCAGGATTCGCGAAGGAATCGGTGGTTCTGTGTCGGAGGCACATACGCGGTGGATTTTCTCGCGCGGAAATCGCTCGCGTAGCACGTAAATCGCTCTCCCGCCTTCCGTCTGAATCACCGGCGATAATATCGGTTGACAATTGCGTATCGGGCGCGAGATTATGACTAATAAATTTACGTAACGCGTGCTGCGGCCGATCGCGTGAAAATAAATAATGCGTTTCGCACGCACCGTTTATCACCGAGACGGCGTTAGGAATAATAAGGAGGAGGAACGGATGCAACGGTATTAAATGACGAATCGGGGAATGCTGTTAAACGATCGATTATTTATCAAAGACCAGTCTCATCTTTATTGTACAATGTTATTGTACAAATATATATATATGTATACTTTCGATTTTGCGATATGATTATTCTTAATTTCATGGCCACACATTACTTTAATTTTTTCGCGAATGCTCCATGTATAACACTTTCCATATTTAGAATAGCCAGGTATTCTAATAGAGCCCAAACTCGATCAATCTATAGCGGTCAATTATTGGCCGAAAATTTGTCATTCAATATTGAGCTATTATCGGCAAATAATCGGGTGTCTATTTACTTTACTTCTACAATAATACGGCGATGAAATTCCATTTCAGGATCAACATTGTATAATCAAGCACTATTGCAAGAAATTTATGATATTAGGTCATATCTAGTGAATATAATTGTACGTTGGTATTTGTGATAAAAAATAATTTTTATAAATACAAACACGAAATATTGTTTAAAATGTATATTTAATTTCTTCACACAAAAATTATTTATATTCCATTTCTATTATTTCTAATTTGCCATTCGCAAGTCGTTTTATAGTTTGCCATTTTCAGATCCAACTTATCGTCTGATTATAATTCAACATTGGATTAATGCATTAATTGTCAATACTGGATCAATATTGAAAATTCAATAGCTAGTAATGACTCAATGGGTCAGAGTCGTCAACTTTATATTATTAAAACCTTATATTATTTGCGGCTGCATCGAGGTTTCAATTTCTGAATTTATTGTTATTACACGCAGACGTGGAAATTGTACTAATTAGAATTAAAATAAATTAATTAAATTAAACTAAAGAAAAGTATGTCAGGATATAAATAGTATCGTCGTCTAAGTTTTCAATTGACTTCGATTCCATGCGATGCGAGTAGAGAACTAGCAGATTTTTCAAAAAACATGCTCGTGGACGGAAAAAGCGAACCGCGGGGGGAGGGGGGAGGGCCGCAAAGGAGGAAGGCTCGAGCAGGAAATGTTAGCGTCGCGCTTCTTCTTTCTTCGCGTCTGATTTGATTTTCCCTTGCGGCTTCCTTATAGGTACAGTAGCACCGGTGGCGAACTCGTCGCAGTCGAACCAGCCGTTCATCACGATACCGCTGAACGTCGCGATGAGCGCGGCGGGATTGTCCTTACCGGTGACCTCCAGGATATCCTCCAGGTCGCCAACGACGACGACGACGACGACGTCGGCGGCAGCGGCGGCGGCGGCGGCGGTGGCGGCGATGTCCGCCTGCAGCGACTTGCCTTCCGACCTGAGCAAAGATCGGGAATGACGCGGGAATTATCCGACGAGCGGAATCTCCGACGACGATGACGACGAAAGTAGCAGTTAAGCCTCCGCTTTCTCACTCGCCACACAGGCGGAAATTCGTCGTGCAAATTCGTCGGACGAATCGCGGAAACGGATTCTCGCGCGCGCGCGCGGATATCTCCGGACCTGTGATACTTCCACGTCCGGGATAACATCGGGGCGAGTGATCCAGGTTTTTCGAGTGGATCACGAGCGACTAAGACTCCATCGCCCAATGTGGGATTCTTCGCCCCCTCCCCCCCCCCTTCGTGCTCTCGTTCTCGGGAACGGATGTTTGCATATGGCTCTTTTATACGAGGGAAACTAAGAGAACTTAGGATCTGCTAGTAATCATGTACTTTTCGGTTAAGGCAACATAAACAGCGTGAAATTAAATTAATAATGGGGCAAGGGCAGGGTTTCTCTAAAGAGGAAAAGATCGAGAACTTCTTATCCTAGAAAAATACATTTGCAGAATATATTGACTGTAAATCGCTGGACCGAAGATTTTGCCTAAATAACGAACTGAATATCTCGAGGTATAAATCATTGCGTGATAAACTCGTCAATTGTGACTATTCGATACCTATATCTCTAAACGTTAATAAAACTTCAAAACCGTTTTTATAGAGAAAAAAATGGCTGAGACTTCATCTTCTCTTGGCCTGTGTTACTCCAGATCTTATTTCGTAAATTATTAAGCTCTTTCGCTCAGATTTTTGTATGGTTTTTTACATGCTAATCGATCTGTTATAGTTTTCTAAATATATACGATATATAGGTTTTATTTAATTAATTATTACAAAGCAAAATTGAAAATATGTGGCAACCTTCTTAAAATCTGCATAATTTCACTTCAGCGTTAGATGCTCGAACCGCACATATATCTGGCGAGTATCCAGATACGTGGCAAACGGTCAATACGCGTTTTCGGGTATTCGCGTCGATCGTTTTGTACCGCGGAATAGACTTGAACGTTTCTCCTCCTGTGCGCGATACTTAATACGTATACATGTATAAAAATATATACATATATATATATATATATATATATATATATGTCGGTGATATATCTCGCCACCCTCGCGTGTGCCCGCTATCGCCCGATCGTAATTTTCAGCGTAATACGCCTAATCCGAATCGCACTATAAATACCCGAATAACCGGAACAAAAAATACACTCTGGACGGACCTCAGTAGCGTATTCCGAGAATGCTCACTGCCAATTATGAGACTGACATCGCATATACGAATGCAATATCTAATCCCAACAGTCGCGTCGAGCGTTTGGTTTTTACTTGTACCAAACGATCACTTTGTAGCACAGTTTTGATTTATTTTTACTGAGAGTAGATTTGCTCACGCATCGTCCCGATCTTACCAAAAAAAGCACGGCATGTAATTATCAAAAATAAATCATGCTGCAACGATATTTAAAGAAATTTCTTACGCCATATTTTTTTTTTATACGCTTTTCATAATAAATATAGAAACGGACGAGCGTGATGCTTCTTCAATATTTCATCGTGAATATCTCTATAAAATATATATATAAACGCTTCTGCATTCTGGTAGTAAATTTATAATTACCGCAAGTATTGTTACTTCAATTCATATCCTGAAATATCAGAATGTCAATTATTTATCATTGCGAAACACGGAAAATCGTGCATCTCCAAATCTGCGTCACTTTGCAACAAGCAAAGTGAACTATCGATCATGGAGAAGCAGCAGTTCTTCTTTAATTTGTAATCCTTGAATTATCGACTTGGACATCAGTTTCGCTCACGTATTGCGCATGCTGATGTTGCGCATCAGTTTTTTTTTTTTGCGACTGTTGAAGCGTCAGAATCAAGCGAGAGTGCATACGTGTGGACTAGAATATTGTTCGAGTAAAGATAATAGTTCACGCTAGAATTTTTTTTTGTTTCAGATCCAATATATTGAAAGACTATCCTGACGTAGGGAATATTCTCCAATGTCGTGTTGGGCGTTCGAAAATTGTTGTTGAAGAAAGATAATTTAAATTGCCGAAAGAAGGCCTAAAAAGCTTAGCGAACCTTAGCCTAAAAAAAAAGATCTTAACGATTCTGAAACTATTTAATGTATTTCCGACAATATTTTTTTCCGATAGCATTTCCGATAATCTGCATTCTTATAGAAAATTTTTACTCACATAGAAAAAGTTCGATGCATCAAAACTATATCGAAGTTCTCCAAAGCGGATGTATAATATTTTCCGAACGTGAATATTCGCGCTATCATTTGCTGCGAGGACGAGTTTCCTCTTACCGATAGACATCAATGTTTTTCAGCCTGATGGGCGAGTGTCATCCGCGTGTCGCGATTTTCATGTAGAAACGATAAATTTCATCGTCGTATCGAGTTGTATTTTGCTTAACGGCGCAGGTGCGCGCGACGCGGTCGCGCGGTAAAAAGGAGCACGCGTTCGAGATAACGCGGGCAACATTTATGAAATAATGAACGACAACTTTCCCCCCGAGTTTTTTTTTTATCGGGACACCGTTCGAATCGATATCATCTCGCCGAAAATGTATGTTAACGATATTATTGAGAGTATTGCAGATCTCCGAGTATCCTGTCAATTAGTATATATCAGCATATGAATCCCGCTGCCTATTAGATTTGTAAAATATAAGCGCGAATTACACCAATGTTTACATCGCGTTTAAATTAGAATTCATACTACGCGATGAAAAATGTCTAAGAAGAATCTTACAATATTGATATTGTACGCGCTCATCAAAACGAATTAATTATGACAAATCATTTTCACTTCACTGTAATTAATCGTACACAGAAAAATTTTTCTTTAGGTTCGAAAAAAAAAATTGTTTCAAATAATCTTTTTTTTCTGACAAACAATTAAATGCTACAAAACTTTTGTAAAATACAAAAATTTGAATTCTACAAAAAATAGTGATTTATTTAATTATATTGTTTTAATGAAATAAATATAAGCCAAAGAAATAGAAATACTAAATGTAAAGAATTTTTTTTCTGTGTATATCATCATTTTATAAATTTAAAGACTAGTCCATTTTTGCGCGTATACTTCGAATTTAATCATGATTTCCTTGATGTTTACAAAGGATGTGCCCGTAATTCGCCGCTACCGCTATTTGTTAGCCTAATTTTTATTTACAATTAATGAAGATTTGACAATTCGAGCACTTGTGTGCATAAATAAATTAATAACAAAATCACAAAAATCATCTGAAATAATGAATAGTATTAGGTTATATCTTCCGTTTAACGTTTCATTCTGCTGTCGACAGTAGGCGTAGAAGGAATTCTTTAATCACACATGAATCTATTTAATGGCTTCTAGCGCGATATGTTTTAAAAGTATGTTAAGAACGTGCAATTTCCGGCGAATGCATTACCGACGTTCGGATCGGAAGCGGGTCTTTACGAGGACATTTACATCGTAAATATCATAAGCGAGATACTCAGATCAACGGGGTCTGGAGCGATTAAATCCGATTTGCGGAAACGAACAGCGACGTATGGTTTATTGTTTATTGCCATGAAAAATATTGCAACTCATGGATCTGCATAAAATCTAGCGCGATGAAAACTCGAGATACTAAACGTAGATAAATAAATATAGCGCAAGGATCGTACGATGTAATAGATCGCCTATGATGATCTTAGAGCGCGTAAACGTAGAGCGTGTAAACGTCGATCATTATATTGCGAGTGATCAACAACTGCGGCGTAATCTTGATGAATTTGTAAATCATGAATCTTGCAGAGGACAGAATGTTTATTGCGACGTCAGATATACTTTGGAATGTGCAATATATTGTGAACTTCCAATTCGGAGGTTGTTATTGTTTTAGTAAGCTTCAGCGTAATCTAGCTCGACACGGACAGACACGTATAGTAGCGTGGATAAAATAAAACGAAGTATTACACAGCATGTCGAAAATCGGATCTTTTAAAAAAAAGATGAGAAATAATTTA